AGTATTTTAATTGTGTATTTCTAACAATTATACGGTACATACCATAAAAAAACCACTTAATTAGAAAGCATTAGTTTTATTGTTTGGATTTATACTTCAGCAGGAGCCCTACACCCTGATTACTGTGAATTTAAATAAATTGAATAAAAATATACACAACGTAAATGCCTCTTTAAAGCGTAAAAATTAATAGAAATAAGATAATCACCTATACTACGAGAATGTAACAACCAAAACTCTAGAAAGTATAATAAGTGCCCCTGATATCAAATGGTCAGGTACTTAATCACCAAACTCCATGGTATCCACATACTTAGTAATCTTAATGTTGCCGAGAAAGCTGTTATAGGTTTTGGTACTTCTAAAAGCGAAAGACCACCGACCGCTAGACAGTCTGAATTTGGTAGACATAACCTATAATTATTTCAAGTGTTTCTCTTGCTAATTTTATAACGATTGGTGAATTTTGTGGCTCAGCCGCTTGGTGCTAGAATGGACCATCACAACGTTATTCAAGAAAATTTTGCCTTCTACATGTACATTGAGCCATGCTGGTAAGTGTTTGCCTTCTGATTCCATCGTTTTAATGCAATGCGAACCTCGCCCCTTTATTAAATTCAAAGTCAGGCTCCAAGAACCTCAAGTGAATCATTGAATCCGCCTGAAATCCTGGAACTTAAGAGCAGAAAACAAAATAATGTGTCATTTGCATTGGAGTATCTCAAAAAGGCCTGCAACTTCTTTATCGCAAACGTTTCCAAATTCTAGAACACAAAAGAAGTGAGAAATAATTTTTTTTCCAGATGAAAGAGGGCAATTATTACCAATCTTAGCTCGCTTACTTCCTGGGATAAGCACTAAAGCACAAATACAGTAAAGTGTAAGCATTTTTAACGGGAGGACTCTTGAAAACTAGCGATGATTTTCTGAACCAGCCTCTATTTAGTCTGTGCTGCAGTAGCGGAGAGAACATGTGGGTGTGCCAGTTATGTGGTAAACATAGTAACCGCCGCAATTTATCACTTTGACGGAACTTGACCAGCTGCAGCAGTCTGACCCCCAGTGGAAGCAGACTGTCCCGTTCACCTGACCATCAGCCACTATGGGATGTGTACTATTTAGCCAACCAGATGCGTCAGTGTTACATCGGTGTTTTGGTGGACATGAAGTAGGCATTCTTGTACCTGCTGCTCCTTCCAGACGGTACCAACCCTTAAGTCCGTTGTCACAAACCGTGTTTTGATTGGTGTAATTTATCCTTCTGTCTGCTCCTGTCAGACTTTGATAGTTTTGACATTCTAAAATGGGCAGAGAACAAATGATTTAAGAAATTCAAAAACAGGGAAATAAACCTTTTTAATATGCCAAAGCTTTGCACGAACAGAACAAGTAATACTTTTATATATACGATGTCGAAACAGTCCGGGCTATAGTTTTATCCCAATTATATTCATGCTTTATATTCTAACATATTTCAATATGAATATGTTATATAGAATTTTTTAACATTGTCTTAAAAATCAGTTTTCAGGATTCATTTGTATTTTTCAAGTATTGTAAAGTTTTTGTAAATAATTGCGTAAGTTAGCCTTTGGCTGTGATGCATTTTTAATAATTTATCTATCTATCTATTTATCTATCTATCTATCTATCTGTCTACCTAAACCTTTCAAATGCAATTTATTTATCCAGACAGGCTGGCCCAGTTCAACTGAAAGCTGTTTGAAATGGGGACCTGTATAAACGGTAACACGGCCAGACCACAACACCGGGAGCAACGTTCCCTCCCCTTTGCGAGAAGTGCTAGAGCTCTTTAACGTTCCTTGCTAACCAGTACAGAAAAGATGAAGGAGACGTGAACTAGGGTTTATTGTCTTTATCCGAGAAGAGAAGAATGTCCAAACATTTTCACATATCATACACACATTCTCAGTTATTTTAAGACCCTAAGTATAAGTAAGGTCTGGTGCTTGAACCCTTGATCTCCCGCACAGTAGTCCGGAGCTCTACAATGTGGCCTAACCATTACGATACAGATCGGAGCCGCCAATGTACACCCTCTGAGTTATTTCATTGTGCAGTGATCCTTACTGTTATAAGTTTCGTTTCCTCTGGGATCAAAGTGGGAAACCTCTTCAACAGAAGAACACACGATTCGCTTCAGCTCACTTCACTTGCACAGCCAGCTGGATCAAAAATTTCCACGTAAAATTGGTTCTATTTTGTGCAAGTTGCTTGATTACCTTCTGTATGATTATTTATCACTACCCGACGGCGAGCTCCTGCTTAAGAGAAGATAGTTACAGGAAAAGCTGTAGGATTTTACACAAAGAAATAAGATACGAAATTCAGATTTAAGAGACCTGAGGCACTAACCTGACGGGCTCGCAAAGTTGCAAGATCTTCCATCCCCTACGTACGGATGGTGACATGAGCAGGTGAAGGACCCCACAGTATTGGTACATAAAGCCAAATCATGGCAGTCGTGCTCGCTGCTGGCACACTCATCAACATCTGTTGATATAAATTGGCAGGTTGATACAGATAATAAATGAGAAAGGAACAGTAAGAGACTTGCCGGATTTGCATATTTGCTATGAATTCGACGGATGATAAATTGGCCCAGGGATGTCGAAACTTGCTTGACGAAAGACCAAATTTGACTTGTAATTGAGCATTTGTGGTGTAAATATGTAAGCTCACACATAAAACCTCTTCTACCTTTGCAAGTATGTCCATCTCCAGAAAAACCAATTTTGCAAGAACAACTATACGATCCCAGAGTGTTTTTGCAGTCGGCGTTCTCATTACAAATACGAATGGAGGTAGTGCATTCGTCAGCATCTGTTAAAGAATGAAAAAAACTCATTTAATGCTAAAATATTCATTGATCCTGAAGCACTTTTATTCGGAAACTTATTATTTTTGTTTTTATGTTCTTTTTATATCTCTTATTTTGATTTGCTAACATGAATATTCCTTTAATTTCAGTTTTCTTATCGCGAATCTTATGTTAGTTCACTCTGATTTCAACTTGGAAAATAAGGACGCCGCTTTGGCAGATAGTTATTTTAGAGGAATCAGACATCTCTCGGAGTGCATTTTGAACCTGACATCTCAAGAACTTAGGTAACCTTAGTTGTTTTTTTTTTCCTCTATTTATGATGTTTTTGATAACCCGCCTACTGATACCTTTATAAGAGGGCTGATACTAGTTTCGTAACCAGGCCTCTGACGGCCAATTTCAGTTCTAGTTACACGGTAGGACCTGGGTACGAGGTCAGGCATATAGAGAAGTTCCTTGCTAGTTCGAAACTAGTCACCTCAAGTGTGGAAGTGCTGAAGAGTGATATAAAAATAAATGAGGGAAAAAGTTTATGACGTTTTGGGGAAATTCCAACCTTTCTTCAACATAGTTACAGTCTTTCTTCGGACAACTCTCACCCAGACGATCAGACTAACGATCGATTATACCTAGCACAAAGGCTAACAAAGGCTTCTGCTTTACTGTCTTACTCTACCTTCTGTTTTCATGTCACAGTAAGCCAACACAGGTGTGTCAAGTATGATGAAATTCAACCAGTATTTGCCGCTGACCGCTTTTCCACCTTCACTCGCCTTGATTTCCTTACACGAGTCTGCAGGCAGTTCTGGGATGGCACCGAGAATAGCTAGGAAAAAAAAAGAGTAAAAGAAACACTATGTCTTTCCCTTTAGGACAGTTGGCCAAATCATTTTGCCTTAACGCTCACCTCTCTTCGTATCTCGTCTGAAGTAATATCTCTCAAAGCTGGGTACAAAATCTTCAGGTCTGGCCTCCTTTGTGCGGTTACTCAGCTCACACTTGTCTTGGGTGAACACATAGTTTAAGCTTTGGCATCTGACGTCACGATAACATTCCCGCAAACACACATCACCTAATGCTGCTCCGATGATTGTTTTAAAAATGTGTTTTTGAAGCATCTTACCAAAGATGGAGACTTCACGTGTATCAAGATGGTACTGAGTAACAACTGAGTGAAACGATACCAACATGAAGAGTAGAACTGGTAAATGAAAGAACTCTTGGACTCCCATTGTGGTTATATAATCTCACCTGAGATGAAATCATGAAGTTTGAGAGCACAGTGATATACAAATATGTGGCCGTCCACAGAAAAACAGGGAATACGTAGTATACGGTACCTGCAGAGGCACTTATTGTTTGGCTGTTTTCCAAGCAGTATGACATATCGCACACACACATGACTAGGGGTATGTCATGGATGCTACAAATTTGAGGCTTGATGTGAAAAGGCACGAGTTAGGTATGGCACGAGTCGATAGGACACGGATACTAAAACAGTCCCATTACGCGTTCGTCTATGGCTTAATCAAAAGTTTTACTTATTTTTTTTTAGTAAGAAGTTGTCAATGCTTTTTAAATGCAATCCCTTAATGGCAGAAACAGTTTTAACTAAGTACGGCGAGCGGTCGTCGTCCCTATGCATGCATGCAAAAAAAGAAAAAACACAGACAACTAAATATAAAGTATCAGACTCCTTTAAGACTCATTCCCTAACGTCTTAGCAGCTCTTTATTCCGATCTAAACATTCACGCTAGTCTTTAAAAATAGCACACAGTTCGCCGCCCATGATAACGTTTATGAAAATTTCCCAAAATGATTTCGTTAGTTTAGCTCTGTCCTATCATGATGATAACAGAACCATAAGGTACTTCTCCTATGCTATGAACTTGCCTGAGTGAGTATCGCAGTCTTCCTTCACTTTTCAAAATCGATAAAGAGATCTTTGGAAACAAATTGACTTCAAATGGAACTTGACTAGTATTGAAAGAAGAACTTTACAGACCTCAACATGCTTAAATGATAAAATTATGAAACCTGATGCTCTTTTTTTGCCACCTGCAGACTTCCTTTGTAAAAATTTTGGCTGGGATCCACGCAGAATTTCATTTTTCTTCGAAATTCAAAATATGATATCGCTGTTATAATGCAAGTAAATGACAACGAAACTCTTAGCTTTATCTAATAGAAACATTTTTCAAAATTCGTTGGCTTTTCAAAACTCGTTCCTTCTTATCTTTCGTTATGACACAGCTATAATATTGTTCTTGTTAGGAATAGGGCAGAACTGCAAACGTATTTTTAAGTAGTTCATGACATTAAGGCCAAACACATTTAAGTCCTTAAACACATAAGGTCCTTAAGTCATGAACGACAGCTGTCTCTACATTTGGATCCGTTTTTTCATTTTGACAAGAGGCACTTCTTTGCAATCACTTTTCTTGAGAGTTCTGCTGTGTATCTGTTACATTTTTGTGCTGCTCGTCATTGCAGTCACTGCTGGGACCTGAAAACGATGGCTGATCTCAGAAAGGAGCGAGTTTAAGAGTAAAGTCAATTTTAAGCTTTCATATATCGTCCAACATTATCAAACCAGCGGGTGCCGGTTAAACTTATTAACATCCTAATTCGAGTTGAAATTTCAAATATTTACTTCACCTGCTTGTATATTAGTGTCATCAATTATTAAAATAAAAAATTTTTGCCACCGAAGTTTTTTTTAGTAATTTAATAAAGGCCAGAGAAACTTTTAAAGTTAATGTCCAATTCAGTTGATTGATTAAGTCCAAAAAGCATTTTATAACACGACTGCTACTCTTTTTTTCTATTCCTCGTACTTGTTTATGCGCTATTGACCTCCTATATTCATTTTTACATCAAAATGTGAGACCTTAGATAACTTTTCTGTTTCTAAATTTGGATCTGTTTGTTTCACTTTAATTTGATAAGAAGCAATTCTTTGCAATCACTTTTCTTGAGAGTTCTGTCGTGTATCTTTTAGACTTTTTCCTTGCTCTTCAGTGCAGTCACTGCTGAGACCTAAAAACCATGGCTGATCTTAGAAAGGAGCGAGTTTAAGAGATAAGTGAAGTTTTCATCATTATAGTCCAACATTATCAAACCAGCGGGTGCCGGCGAAGCTTATTAGCATCCTAATTAGAGTTGAATTTTAAACATTTGCTTCACTTGTTTGTATACTTAGAGTCATCAATGATTAAAATGAAAAATTTTCGTCATCGAAGTATTTTTTTTTTAATTTAATAAGGGCCAGAGAGAATTTTAAAGTGAGTGTCTTCATTTTAAGGGAATCTTACTTTCATAGAATAGCGTATACAGGTTGCATGAAATGTACTTTTTTAAGAGAGGATGTCAGCATCCATCGAACAAATTTGAAATATTGTGGCAAGTCGCCCAAAATTCGTTTCCTCTCCTACTTTCATATTTTGTAGCCCAATATGTTCTTATAATTGTGGTGTAGTTTTTTTGTGAAAATATATTTTAGTTTTCGAGAAATGACTTTTTTCGTTCGACCGCTCAAATATGCAAATTTCCACCGTGAATATTACACGAGTTGTGTGACCTCATGTAACGAATGTGCTAGACCTACGGTATTTCTGTGAAAATAATCCTTCGTTTTATCATCTAAACTTAATCTCCTGTCGTTATTGAAGCTGGCAAAGAAATATTTTTTTTGGTGAATATTTTTGTCCGACATACTTTTCCTATGTCGAAAAGTAGCATCAAAACAAAGACAGTTTTAACAATGACTGATATGACGCAATCTACTGAGCTTCAAGCTTTTATGAGACAAAAGGATGGTTATAAAGTTACTGTAAAAATTTCTTTGTGTATTTGTGTTGTTCTATCTTGAGACGAACTCAAAGTCCGGCAAAATTTACTTGAAGCGACTATGAAATGTACATGGTGCGCCTACTTGTCGCCACCGTCAATTGGAATAAATCACTACAATTTGTAAAAAAGTCTAACGTAACACTCTTACCTTGTTTATTTATGATTTTATTAGCTGTTTCGACGATCACATTAATAATGCTCTACCACGTTCTAGCCAGATTTGAGTTCCAGTTTATATATCTCCTCTAACTTATTATATCAGTTGCGTGACAAGCGTGACACAGAAATTTAAAGATGAGTCAACCTCCGAAATACCAAGAGATGGGTTTTTTTTCCTCTTTGCATGACATCTAGAAAAACCTTTATTTCTTTGCCAGCTTCAATAACGACAGGGGATTAAGTTTAGATGATAAAACGAAGGATTATGTTCACAGAAATACCGTAGGTCTAGCACATTCGTTACATAAGGTCACACAACTCGTGTAATATTCACGGTGGAAATTTGCATATTTGAGTGGTCGAACGAAAAAAGTCATTTCTAGAGTGTTATGTTAGATTTTTTTGCAAATTGTGATGATTTATGCCAGTTAACGGTGGCGACAAGTAGGCGCACCATGTATATTTCATAGTCGCTATCAAGTAAATTTTGCCGGACTTTGAGTTCGTCTCAAGATAGAACAACACAAATACACAAGGAAATTTTTACAGTAACTTTATAACCATCCTTTTGTCTTATAAAAGTTTGAAGCTCAGTAGATTGTGCCATATCGGTTATTGTTAAAACTTTCTTTGTTTTGATGCTAATTTTCGACATAGCAGTCGACATAGAGTCGCTACTTTCGTGGCATCAGCGTGAAGGGTGTCGCAGAGTAAAATGTTTTCAAACGACAGCCATCATTTACAGACTTAATTCGCTTACAGGTATAACTTAACTACCATTTGACCAAGACTTCAGCTACAAGAACAAAGTTCAGACTTTGAGAACTCAGAGAGAAATGCGAAACTTAAAAACCGATGTGAAAAGCGCCATGAGCGAAATTGTAACTACCGCAGAAAATGACGAGGTCTCCAAATAGGAAAGAAGCTTTTCAGACAAAGGACTCTTTTTAAAGGCACTATTCGTCACCCCTAGCAACGTTTAAAAACTTTTCTGAAACGATGTAGCAATGTTATGGTGTAACACGATGTAAAGACTTCCTTTTTACTCCATCTGCAAAGTTCCCCTGAACACTTTTGGCTGAATTCCACGTGGAGGTGCCCAAGACACAATAGAGGTCCATGCTCTCATGCTCGTGAGTCCCTCCGTGAACATTCCCATCGTTTGTAACGGCAAATGATCCAACGCATGCAAACGTTGTTACAGTAACTCATTTGGGGAAGTGACTGAAAGCAAATTTCAAAGTTGTTTTTAAGACCCAAAATTCACTCCTTTCATCCATCACTCAATCGCTCCTTCATTCTCCTTCTTCTTTCCACTCCTGTTAACCTCTATGTGAGTCCTCTAGCACTTAGAGCTTTCGCATTCCTCGGTGCATGGGGCTCAACTACTGAAAGTCAACGATTGGTCAAATTTTAACAGTTTGCTGAGAAATAAACTGTATTTAACCGACAGCTAAGTTCTGAGACCTGAAAATTTTAGTTGTGTTAGAAAAATTGATTGAAATTAAGACTGCGTGCAAAAGGTCTCAACCAAGGCTTAAACAAATCTTGTACATTCGAGGCGCTCGAATAAACATACTCTCGAGGGCAAGAAGCCGTCTTACATTTTATTATTTTTAAGCCTTGTTTTAAATTTTGTTGATCCGGAATTTGAATACTCGATCATCAAAAGTCACGATATCGATGAACTGCATTCTGGAATAATTAAAACTTCCCCCTTTTCCAAGTGCGGAAAAGGAAAGACAAACGCTGTGCTTTGGTAATCGGCTTCTCGAATGCCGATTTCTGCTCAGAAATAAGGAAACGTTCCAGATGAAAAGATAAAAAACATATGCTTTTGAAGGAAAAACTTTAAAAAAAATTGGGAAATAAAAGACAAGGCAAAATAAAATTGCTATTGCCAGGAGCTGTTCCCTCGACCTTTCGCTTGCGGGGTCGAGCTCGATCCATTCGGCCAAGTAAGCCAATGTACTTTCAGTAAGTGGACTTTCAGTAAGTGGAACACGAAGTCAGGTATTTCACCCTTCATAATTCATTTTCCGAGTTCAGTGGCCCACAGCCACTTTAATTTGACTTTCACGTTTGTTCGTATGCATCGTTTCATGTGCATGTGGGTGCTTTTCTAAGAGTAGAGTTCAGTTTCATCAGGGAAGTGGCAGTTTTGATTTTAGTTGCACAATCTGATTCCCTTTATCACAGTATTCAATGACTCATTTACTTAGAGCTATACCTCGTTCAGGTAGCTTCTTTTTTTTTCGGTCCGTAACACGTCATGGCTGCATCACTGGTTTCATGATTCACATCAATCTCGATGACATCCAGCTACATAACCTTTATCTTTGTAAAATGAACCCTCTGTGGATTTCCCTTGTATTTAAGGGACCTTTTTAAACAAAAGCGGCGCCTAAGAAAGTCCTCTCATAGAGAAATGAGCATCGTAGGAGGATATTTCTGGAAACGCTCTTATAGTTTCACGTTCCATGAAAGTATCTTAATTTGTTGGT